CACTCCTGTTCTAAGACAGGAAAGTCCATGACCAAATAGGTGTCTGGAACAGAAGGAGAGGACAGTCAGGAAAAAAGACTGACAGATTTTCAGGATCCTGGCCACTATTCAGTGAATAAATAACTTGTTCCAATTAGCACATCTTCTCCACTGAGACTACACTTCTCAGGTTCCCACCTCTTTGATGAGGAGTACAGAGTCTTGAAGAGCAACCTGGTGGCCAGAAGTTTAATATTGCATCTTCTCTTCCTGTGCTCATTCAGGGCACTTTTTCTGTGTTGGAGTTTCAGATCTCTGGCATGAAAGGCCCTCCAGGTACAAGAATTCTGGGCTCTTGCTGAACCTGGATTTGGAGGCTATGATCTGTGGTCTACGTTTAGGGATCTTTAGTTCAGCAGTGAGATTCAGACCCAATGATGCTTAGGCTCCTTCTCCATCAGTACTTCTGCCTCCTCCCATTGGTTATTGCAAAAGTTTATGATCTTAAGAATGTCTGTCAAAGCAGGTCACAGCCACTGGAGGTGCAGCTCTATGCTCATGTAAGTGGGAACGTTAGTCCACTACTTCTGAGCACCAGGAGAATGGACTCCTGTTGATCGCAGGAGCTGCTACATGGTAAGTGGGGACTGTGAAACTTTCACAGTCCCTACATGTCCCCTAGACTAGGGGATGCAAAAGAATCATGAATACGAAGCAGTTACAAATGCATAACTCTAGGTTATGCATTCATAATTCCCCATCAGGATTCTGTGCAAAAAAAGTTGTTCTCTATACAAATCAATCATGTGCAAACTTTGTGCATCACAAGTGCTCCATTACTTTTTGTGCAGAAAATAATATTTATGCATAGGAAACAACATTTCTGTGCATAATTTTTTTTTTTTTTTTTACACAAAAGAACCATGTGCCCATTTTGAGGGGAAAAACTAATGGCTGAACTGCAAATAGGCTTCAAAAACTGTATAATTTTTGAACTTTCTCATAGTAGGAAGAAAATTCCTAAAATTACTCATTGTTTACCCCAAGAACAAAATCTGTGAGTAATTATATTCCTAGAGGTTGGGAGAAGAACAGGTTCAGTACACTTTTATGTGGAAGAGTTAATAAAGATCAAGAGTTACCCTTGCTGCATATGGGATCCTCAACACTCTTCTTCAGCACCACATCTCAAATGCATTGATTTTCTTCTATCATCTTTTTTAACTATCCAGCTCTCACATCCATACATGGTAATAGGGAATAAGATGGGTTGTAATGATTCTGACTGTTTTGCTGAGTTGTATATCTTTGCAGTTTAGAATCTTTTCTAATTCTTTCATAGCCACCCTTCCCATTCTTTATATGCTTCTGATTTCCTGGCTGCAATCCCCATTCTGACCAATGTTTGATATCAGATCAAGTCACTTTTCATAAAGTCTCCTGAAATGCTGAAGAGCCTCCCTTTCTGCTCGATGCTGGCTGAAGGTACATATTGTCCCTTGATCCTCCCCCATGTCTGAAGATTCTGCGGCTGGGAGACTAAGGGCCTAAGCCATTTTCGAGGCCAGGAAGGGGAGGGGCAGCCTCACGCTTGGTGCCCCAACCCCTTCCCGAATAAGTCATTGGAGCGTCCATTGCTCCGCACGGCCAGCGCTCCCTCGACACACTTCCGTTGTAGCGTCCGTACACGCTGCAGCAGAAGTGGTGGCGAAGGTGCACCAGAGGCCTTTTGCAGCACACCTTCAGCGTCTTGCAGAAGGAGTGCTATTTTAGCGCTCCTTCCTGGGTCTGGGATGCTGCGGCTCGGGGCCGAGGAGTGCGGATACCTTGGCCCCAATCCACAGCTTCCTGGAGTGGCCCCGTGCCGACCGTCTGCTTCTCCCCTAAGTCATTATTAGTCATCATCACCTGGTCATTATTTTCTTTATGTTCAACAGTAAGCGTGCCTTTGCACTTTTTTCCTTGATCTTTCTTAGTAGTTGTTTCGGGTCTTTGATGTTATCCTCTAGTATTATGGTGTCATCAGCATATCTTAGATTGTTGATATTCCTTCTTCCTATTTTCACTCCTCCTTCTTCTGTGTCCAAGTCTGCTTTTCTAATAATATGTTCTGCATCCAAGTTGAACAGATAGGGTGAAAGGATACAGCCTTGTCTGATCCCTTTGCCAATTGGGAACCATTCTGTTTCTCTGTGTTCTGTTCTGACATTAGGCTCTTCCCCTGAGTACAGATTCCTCATC